TGTTACATTCCGGGATTGCTAACTCTCACAAGCCTACAGCAATGGACACGGCAAGTTTTTCCAAGACATTGGTGTGTGGAAAGAGGCGCCGCTGCTCAAAGGCAGCACCAAGTTTGAGCCACTGCCCGATGTCAAGAACATCATGATTACTGGTGGCGCCGGCTTCATGTAAGTCAGAGGCTTGGCAGGGAAATCGCCCAAGATGCTAACACATTCCCGAGTGCATGCTGGCTGGTCCGCCATCTTACCCTCACCTACCCCAACAATTACAACATTATCTCTTTCGACAAGCTGGACTACTGTTCCTCGCTGAACAACACCCGCGTCCTCAACGAAAAGTCAAACTTCACCTTTGTACACGGCGATATTACCAACCCAACAGAAGTTGTCAACTGCCTGAGGCGGTATAACATTGATACCATCTTTCACTTTGCCGCTCAGTCACATGTTGACCTGAGCTTTGGTAATTCGTACGGGTTCACCCACACCAACGTCTACGGCACTCACGTTCTTCTCGAGAGCGCCAAGAGTGTTGACATCAAGCGTTTCATCCACATCTCCACCGATGAGGTCTACGGAGAGGTCAATGATGACGACGACGACCTCCTCGAGACCAGCATTCTTGCGCCCACTAACCCTTATGCTGCTAGCAAGGCAGCCGCCGAGATGCTCGTTCAGTCTTATCAGAAGAGTTTTAAGCTTCCCGTCATCATCGTGCGCAGTAACAACGTCTACGGCCCGCACCAGTTTCCCGAGAGTAGGTCGCATACATCCAACCCGCCGGCTCCTGGCTAACAAGAATAAGAAATTATCCCCAAGTTCACTTGCTTGCTGAACAGAGGCCAGCCCGTTGTTCTCCACGGTGACGGAAGCCCTACCCGGCGTTACCTGTTTGCTGGCGATGCGGCCGACGCCTTCGACACCATCTTACACAAGGGCCAGATGGGCCAAATCTACAATGTTGGGTCCTACGACGAAATCTCCAATATCGACCTCTGCAGCCATCTTCTCAAAGAGATGAACATCCCGTACTCCACGACGGACGAGTTCAAGAAGTGGGTCAAGTACACCCATGACCGACCTTTCAACGACCACCGGTATGCTGTCGACGGCACCAAGCTCCGCCAGCTCGGGTGGGACCAGAAGACCAGCTTTGCTGACGGTCTCCGCATGACGGTCAACTGGTACCGCCAATTTGGCGAGGAATGGTGGGGCGACATCTCCTCCGTCCTCACGCCTTTCCCTGTTGTTCAGGGTTTGGACGTGTCTGCGGACTCGGAGCCTGTCGCTGATTCACCTCTCACACCCAAGTCGAAGAAGAGGAAGGTCATCGACGACGTCGACGGGAGCAATGGCATTAGAAAGGGCATCACCAATGGCTCCAACGGCCACGCAGTCAGGGCATAGCAGGTAGTACATTCGTTGGCCCAAGATAGAGGCCCAAGATAGAGGCCCACATGGGTGCTAGAGGGAACCCGACAGAAACCTCATCCTTTTTTTTCGACATTATTATTTCGTTACGATATGCATATTCATCAAGAATGCGACGCCTCGGGTTTGGGTCGTGATATGTACAATTTGCGGTACATGTCTGGCGCTGGGTAAAGGCGCATGGCACTATGGGGGTGTTAGTCATAGAGGAACATTTACTTGGTCGGCAATTGATATGGAAGATACCGAATAAGAGATATTTACTGGATGTGCAAAAATTCGTCAAGGATAAGTCAGTGATTCATACATGATTATTGTACGGAGTATGCCGGGCGAAAGCAAAGGTGGGGCCACCTGTCATGAACAAGCCATGACTTGATAAAAACCCGGGCCGTGAAGGCGCAGGACTGGGTGTCAGCATGCGAACCATACGCCGGCTGGAACGTTGGGGGGGAGGGGCGGTTGTTTGCAACTGTGTGTAAGAGAGGGGATGTCGATCGGCCGCTCGGATTGCTGGTAACGAGCTATTCTATATGACTTTCTTTCCTTTTCTTCCCCTTCCACTTTTCGTTCTCGTGGTAGGTCGATCTCGATCTGCTGTGCTATCTACCTACTGTACAAGACAATGGAGGAAGCAAGGTCTTGGTTGTAACTTGTAGCCTTTCAAAATAGTGCGCACGGAAGGCTGTACCGCCTTGTCGGAGACTTCAACTTCTCGGCTGTCACGTGTGGCACAGACGACGCGGGCAATGATCTTACCGTCTTTCTTCTTCTCCCCTGCATTTCCGTCTCAAGATAATTGCCCCACGTTGGTTGCTTGCTTAATCTGATTTCTAGATGGCGTGGTGCTGGCTGACAGCTGGAGCCGCATATTCGCAGGACAATGTACGATATACTTGCTTTTTCTATGCGTAGTCTCCTTGAGTCACAAGACCACACATGCAATCAGTCTCGGCCTATGCGAACGGGAGGATAAGCTTCCCACCCTTTTTCACACCGGGTTTGTTTCGGGTACCACGCGGTCGGGTCTGCAGCTTGCTGGAGGTCTCAAGACGTGACAATGTTGGCCTGATCGCTTTCTGCTGGTACCGTACTCTTCGCTTCTGGGCACGGGGCACAATGGCAGCCTCGGACTACCAGGCATCCGTCTCCCGCTGTCGTCGCCTTGCTGATAAGGATAGGGAAGTTGATGACCAGCCGGGGCATTGTTGGAACCCAAGGAACCGGGTAGAGAAAGGGGCTTTTCCAGTAAAATGGATATCTGCAGTGGGTAAAATGGAATCAAACCTACAGATACATACACGTACTAGTGTATATACATAGCATGCAGAACTACGCCGTACACTAAGGAAGATTCAAAGATCCTTCACGGGTTAGGACAATGCAACGCTGGAATCTAGACAAAGGCTCCTCCCCCATTGGATGCGCTCCTGGAGGAGCACCCACATTCGGACCCATCGATCCCCGTGACGCAAGCCAACCAGAGTGACAGAGCTAGGACGTGATGGTGGAGCGCTCGAGGCCGGGCTCTGAAGGTTCCAACGGCGAGGGTGCCCCTCGTTCCCGGGCCTGGGCGCCATGACACTTGTGCGCGGCGTGCCCGTCCCATTGGAAGCGACCGTTGTCGCTACATGCTGCGTAGTATCCGTAGGTAGTTTCGATAAAAGTTCGGGGGGGATTACGCTGCACCGCAGCCCTAATGGATTTGACGGGCAAGAATCCAGACCGGAACCGGGCATGCATAGGCAGGGGAACTGCACTGGCTGCAGTAGCTCTCACTCCGGCGGTACCTCCCGGAACGTTGCTACGAATCAGCGCCCCTTCTCTCGGCCTTGCTAGCTGCGAGGGGCATGCAGGCAGGTGGCCCAGACGAGGAAATATAAAGAGGGGTTGCTGCATTCCTATTGCAGCTCCTGGGTTTCCGCTGACTGAGCAGACCGTCCTAGACATTGCGCGACGAGCTCCAGAGAGTACCGAATCTTGCCTATTAGTATTCTGTTGCCACGTAGGCATGAGAGAAGATACCGAATGGAGTGTACGCTGCTCAAAGCCCTCGTTATGATGTCAGTGCCAACCGTGTTTCTTATCTCAAGTGGTCACAGCCGGACTTTGGCCATACACTGCCGATCTCCTCGTTGTTTAACGCAGCCGCTTTTCTACGCCGTGCAAAGACATCCAAGTAAATAGGGGGGGGGGGATCAGGAGTAAAAGGTGAGGGAGTCCAAGACCAAGTGAATATACGATGTGAGACCCCACCCTACAACTCAGATCACCCCCAAAGTCAGAACACCCTTAGATAAGGTAGTAATAAGAGATGAGTGTAGTAAGTTAACTACTTCTTAATATACTAACTATAAGCTAGAAAGATATAAAAACTTATATGTACCTTCTAATAAGGCTTTTATATAATATTATTAGCTTTTTATATATTTTTGTAAGTAATTAATAGCTAAAGGTATATATACCCTTATATATAAGAGACAGATAAGCTATAGGAAGTAAATACTAATATATAATAAGTATAAAATTTTCTTATTATACATTAACTATAAAGAATACTATATATAAACTTCTATAACTTTTAGACTTATATCTAATTTTTAAAAAATTACTAAACTTAGAAATCTAGTGTAAAATTTATGTGATTCCGGTGTGAATTTGGGTGGTCTGACTTTGGGGGTGGTCCGAGTTATAGGGTGGGGTAGGTAGGTAGAGACGAAAAGGACCCTTGCTTGTTTGTTACTCCACCCCAGAAAGGCCCAGTTCACGTTCCACACTTTGCGCCCCCTCCCTCTATCTCCTAGGTGGGTAGTTCAGTCCATATGTCCCTCGCACTTCTAGGTATTGCATCGCTGGTGTCCCTGCGGTTCCCCCATCCCATCCTAGCACCTGTCAGGATTCTCGCACTCTCACTACAGGATGGAGAGATGCACTAGCCAAAAGTCAACCACACTAGGACTCCCCCGGTGCAACCATTCCTGTTCGGTATTAAGCCTACTATGGTACCCAACTAACAATGTTACCTCTCGCCGCCTGATTATCCTCAAAACGTCTGTTCCCAAATCTCTCGTCTCTCTGGCGCCCAGGGACCTCACCTTTTCTTCTTCTTGGTTTTTTTTTTTAAACTTCTCTTGTCTTTCCATCCAACAATCTTCCGCTCTACCGCACTCGTTCTTCCTCTTCGGCCCTGTCTATTGTTTATTTTGCGCCGCACGGCTTTACCTGTCAATTCGAAACATACCTTGATTCCCCGAAGTCTTCGCGACTAAACCATCGACCGAACGACCGACGACCCGAATTTGGCACATAGTAACAATCGCCTACGCTCTTTTTCCGTCCTGGGTTCGCTAAATACACACACCAATTTATCGCAAATACCACCTCGACAACCCTTTCATTATTCTTACATTTCTTGCCCGCCTGCCAACACGTGTCTTACGTGGTGTTTTGTTCCCGCCCTCTCGCCGAGGGACGTGATATGACGTTCCGGGACCGCCAACAGGAGATAAGAAAACTGCGATAGGACCTTGACTGCTGGTCGCACAGACAACGGGTCACGGCCGCCGCCCATGGCCAAGAAGCGGCGCACTAAGAAGAGGAAGGGAACCAGTACAAGACAAGACCCCGCCCAGGGCGCCACATCCAGCATGTCCACCACCGACGAGCTTGCGTCGCACTCTAGCGGCAGCCAGTCGAGCGGCCTGCACGAGAGCGAGACCGCCACCGAGATGACGAGCGTCATGAGCATCAACGAGGGATCCCATGGTGTTCTCGAGGCCGACGAAGAATGGAACTCGCAAGAAGAGGAGGGGGGTATGGAGGTTGACGACGACGACGACGACGACCATGACAACTTCTCCGTCTTTACGCCTGGCCATTATCCCCGGCCCAGCGAGTCTCATCGCACCGAGATGCCCTACATGATGTCACTCGATCATCAGGACATGTGAGTTTTCGCAATGCACTGCTGTGTATGCCCTTGACACGGGTTGACTGGTAGAAATGTATGCAGGTCTTCAACCCGGTCATTCATGGAGCGAGAGTTGGACTACCAATGGGAGAACGGTCGGCGGTACTGCGGCCCGCATTATCACCTCCCCAACGATGAGTGGGAAATGTGCCGCATGAGCTTGATTCACCGGGTCTACCTACACGTTTTTGACGGCAAGCTCAGCACAGTACCACTGGAGAACCCGCAGAGAATACTGGATGTCGGCACGGGTATCGGCGAATGGGCCATTGGCATGGCCGACGAGTTCCCCAATTGCGAGGTCATTGGTACAGACATATCTGCCCTTGCGCCCACGTCAATACCGATGAACTGTTTCTTCGAGGTCGACGACGCCGAGTTGGAGTGGGAGCGCGAACTCGATTCGTTTGACCTTGTGCACTTCCGCCACATGATGGCGGCATTTACGGACTGGACTTTTGTCTACAAGGAAGCATTCAAGGTCCTTCGGCCCGGCGGCTGGATCGAGATGCTGGAATGGGATGATCAACAAGGGTTCAAAAAGTTCCTCTCAGAATTCCCCCCTACTTCCGAGATTCACGCACTGTCGAGGGACCTGACGCTCGCAGGCATCAAGTCCGGGCGCGCAAGAGGCGTCTCCCACATGAACCCGAAACTGTTAACAGATGCCGGCTTTACGGACATTAAGCTTACAGAACACACGATTCCCATCAATATCGAGGCCAGCGAAGGCAAGCTGTGGCTGATCGCCTGCATCGATGGACTGGAGGCCGAATGCCTGCGACCACTTACGAAGTACATGGGATGGGACCCAGAGCACGTCAAGACGGCATGCCACAATGTCGCCAAAGAGATGGCCCGTCTAGCAAGAGACCCGGTCAAATCGCACGGACTGATTGTCAAGGCCCGCGTCCTGGTCGGTAGGAAGCCACTGAATGCGGCAACGCCGCCAAGCTTCTATCCGAGACCTACCGAGGACGCGGACGAGACGGACGATACAGCGAGGGAGGGTAGCCACAGCAGGCACCAAGCCGACGAGGACGCTCAAGACTCCGCTGTCGAGACGACAGTTTGAGCGTGAAATAACCTCGAGAAGGAGGAATTAGTAATTCTCTAACCGGGTGATGAGCAGCCCGGGCCAGAGCACGATTTATCTTCATGTTAACTGCATATATCGCACTTACCTGTGCCAGCGGAATATTGCTGGTCTTATTTTCAGCGACCTCAATTTGCACATCTCCTACATATTTTTATTCCTTCTATAAGATCAAATGGAGCTGTAAAAAAAACACCATTGAGATGGTCAACGCTGATGCTGTGCGCTGAGAAAAGGTGGACAAATCCCTGCGGGGATGGATGGCACGCACATTCGTGCTACACCATGGCAAAATGCAAATACCTTGGCTAGTGGATATTCAAAAATTCTACTTGAGAGATTGCCTGTCTCTTGCTGTGATCCAGGTGTGCTCCTTGCCAGATTATGTAGATGTGTAAAACCTCGACATGCGGTCAAGAGTAAACTCGGACAAAAATCAAAGCTCGGCGACGGCTTCCGGTACGTACCTGGCTGTAGCTCCATCTGCCAGGTTGGTTCTAGTGGGGGGGCGGCCAAGCTCCCTGCCTATGTCATCCATCCTCCATCCAACAGCGACCGATCAACACCCAGCATTTCCAGCCTCCGACGAGCTGCATTCCATGCGCAATCGCAGCGGGCGACCTCAGCGACACTCGTAAAAATCCAGAATCCGAGCGACAATGACCGCATGACCTCGTCCTAAATAAACATCATGGCCCTGAACCCATCCGACGGCTTTGCCGCCGGCAACGGGATGCTCGACCTCGACGACACCGCGTTGCCCATGTTCGTCGTCGAGCGAGTCCAGCTGCAGTTCTCCATCGCCGCCGACTTCGTCGCCGCCCAGGTAGCGAACAACGTCCTCGTTCTGGCGCTTTCCAACGGTCGCATCCTGCGCATTGACCTGAACAGACCCGAAGACATTGATGGTGCGTGGTGGCTGGCCGCCATCTGCGGCTGCGTCTGTAACATTCTCGCGAGAAACCATCACTAACCTCGATGCAAATCCAGACATTGACCTCCCGAAAAAGCCCGGCGAAATTGGCGTTATCCGCCGCATGTTTCTCGATCCGACTGCCTCCCACCTTCTTATTTGCACGGCTCTCGGCGAGAACTACTATCTCCACTCCCAGCACAAACATCCCCGAGCCCTGGCCCGGTTACGAGGCGTCTCGATTGAGAGCGTCGCCTGGAACCCTTCGCTGCCGACGGCATCGACTCGAGAGATACTTCTTGGTGCCGCCGATGGCAATATCTACGAGGCCTTCATTGAGACGACCTCTGAGTTTTACAAAAAGGACATCAAGCTCAAGAACCTACACAAGCTGCCCGATGGACCGATCACAGGGCTCTGGGCGGACACGCTACCCGGGCGCCCGGATATGCGACGGGTGTTGATTGCAACACACAGTCGGCTGTTTCACTTGGCTGGCAAGGTCGGCAACGGGCACGACAGTGGTGGCTCCATTTTCACGAAGCTGTTCGAGTCGGAACAGCCGACGGTACACGAGCTGTCGCGCTCGTCTGGCGCTGCGACATCAGCGCTGGTGGTCTCGCCGGATCCGCCCGACCGGAACCCCTACGAGGACGAGTCGCACGAGAGAGCCTACGCGTGGCTGTCTGCTCAAGGCGTATTTCATGGACAGCTCGCCTCTAGCGCGGAGGGCAACAAGATTTTTAACGAATCGAACATGCTCCCTCGTTCACAGCTTGGCCCGTCCAACGCATCGAACAAACGGAACCCTACGTTGGATTATATTGACGCCATTGCGCTGACGCAATGGCATATTGTCAGCCTCATCGGCGGCCGCGTGGTTGCCACCAACCGCCTGACCGGGGAGGTGGTGTATGACCAAATCGTCCTGGAACCGGGGCAGAAGGCAGTGAGCCTGTCTGTGGACCTGCAAAAGAACACATTCTGGATGTTCACCGCCCAGGAAATCTTCGAGGTTGTCGTAAGGGACGAGGATCGTAACATCTGGCAGATTATGCTCAAGTTGCAACAGTTCGACTCGGCGTTGCAGCACGCAAAGACGCCGGCACAAAGGGAAACAGTCGCCACCGCGTACGGCGACAACCTTGTCGCGAAGCGGCACTTCATGGAGGCCGCCTCGGTGTACGGACGCAGCAACAAACCATTCGAAGAGGTGGCTCTTACGTTCATCGACAATGCCGAACCCGATGCTCTGAGGAAATATCTGTTGGCCAAGTTGGGTACGTTGAAAAAGGTCGCAGTCATGCAGAGGATCATGATAGCAAGTTGGCTAGTGGAGATCTTTATGGCGAGACTCAATACTCTAGACGACACCATCATCACACAGGCTGAATTGGCCGACGGCCTCAATCCCGCGCGGTCAAGGGAGCAGCTTCGTGCCGTCCAGGACGAGTTCCAAGATTTTGTCAATAAGTACAAGTACGACCTTGACCGACGCACAGTATATGACGTGATCAGCAGTCACGGTCGGGAACAAGAACTGTTGTATTTCGCCAACGCCGTCAACGACTACAACTACGTTCTTTCATACTGGGTTCAGCGCGAGAGATGGCCTGAGGCGTTGACGGTTTTGAAGAAGCAGACCGACCCAGAGGTCTTCTACCGGTATAGCACCGTGCTTATGACGCACGTTGCCTCGGATCTGGTTGAGATCTTGATGCGTCATTCCGATCTGAAGCCCCGCAAGCTGATACCTGCACTGCTGGAGTACAACCGCAATTTCGATGGGAGCCCAGCACAGAACCAAGCTGTTCGATATCTGCAGTACGTCATCAACCAACTCAATTCAAAGGACTCGGCGGTGCACAACACGCTAGTCTCTATCTACGCCCAGAGTTCCAAAGACGAGGCCGGATTGCTGTCATACCTGGAGTCGCAGGGAGACGAGCCAAACTTTGACCCTGATTTTGCTCTTCGGTTATGCATTCAGCACCACCGGACGTTGTCGTGTGTACATATCTACACCAGCATGGGCCAGTACCTCCAGGCCGTCGATCTAGCGCTTTCTCACAACGAGGTGGATTTGGCGTCCGTGATCGCAGACCGGCCAATGTCGAACCCGCCCTTGCGGAAGAAACTCTGGCTCGCAGTCGCCCGCAAGGTGATATCCCAGTCAAACGGCATAAAGACGGCCATCGACTTCCTCAAGCGATGCGATCTTCTCAAAATCGAGGATCTCATTCCTTTCTTTCCCGACTTTGTAGTCATTGACGACTTCAAGGAGGAAATCTGCACCGCTCTGGAGGACTACAGTCGCAACATCGACGGGCTGAAGAAAGAGATGGACGAGTCATCCCAGACGGCGACGAACATCAAGGTCGACATTGCCGCGCTGGATCACCGCTATGCCATTGTTGAGCCTGGAGAGAAATGCTACGTGTGCGGCCTACCGCTCCTCAGCAGGCAGTTTTTTGTCTTCCCCTGCCAGCACTCGTTCCATTCAGACTGCTTGGGGAAGAGGGTTCTGGAGCAGGCCGGCGTAGGCACAAGCAAGAGAATTCGTGAACTCCAGGTACAAATCAGCAAGGGCTTGGTCAGCGGAGCGAAGAGGGAGGCCATGATTGCAGAGTTGGACTCGCTGGTGGCGTCGGCGTGGTAAGGGGCCCCTTTGCTTCTATGCAGGATTTTGTGCTAACAGTTTTGCAGTATTCTTTGCAGCGAGTTCGCCATCAAGAGGATCAATGAGCCTTTTGTCACGCCTCAAGATAACCTAAACGAGTGGAGGATTTAAGAAATATGGTGGAGAGGCTGACTAGACGCATTCACTACCTATATGTACACGTTACGGTACACTTGCATGAGCAGGCGTGTTTAATGGCTGCAATACCCGGCGTTTCAATTCGCATGGTTTCGCAACTGTCTTTTATCTCGAGTCGAACGTGCCACGATGATGTATCTTATTTGCTAGGCTCCAGCTGATTTATACGTGAACCTTTGACTCAACAAGACGTAAGGAACGGCGGGCCTTCTTTTAAAGACTCCGTTGCACCTCCATCGCCGTGATCGTTGTCCCCCCTCTGTGGCATGCTTGTCCTCGGCCGGGTGGTGGTAGACAAGGTCGGCGAAGCATCATGCGAATCCAGGCCCGTTCCCTCTTCTTTTTCTTTGTTTTTTTAGGCAATGAAACTCGGGGTGGCGGAGACGCCGAAGCGGGCCACCGCTCGGGACGCTGGCCTACTACTCACCCTGAGTCCCCGACACCCATCTCCCGCAGCCTGCAGGTAGATCCTCGGCCAGGGGAGGCGTAGATGCACAGGTTTTTGCGAGACGGCCAACGCCTCTCCTTCCCGGGATAGGGGCTTCTCGATTCCTTGTTTCCTTTCGTTCCCCTTTCCTAGTCTTGGATCCGCAGCCGCCCCTCCCCCCACCGCTCTATCCCAGCGCAGGCTCCTTGCCTGGCAACCCTACGATACCACGCTGCTCTAGGTTCCCATGTACATATTCGACGCCGTTGATGCGAGTCCGCATCAGGAAAACCGATGCGACCCAGTTCGTTTGGTTGAGCACGCTCCTCAGCCACTCTGGGTTGACCTCGCTACCGCTCTCCTCGCAGAGCTGTTACCGGCGCTAATATGTATATGATGTACGGATAGATAGGCTGTGCACTCTCGGAGACTGGTAGCATCGGTCCCGCGGCAACAGAGAAGGGATAGGAATTTGGATTGTTCTGTCTTTGGATATCGGGGGTTCTAACCCCGGGCTGGGTTACGTTTGAGATGTTGAGATGACAACCTGTGCCAAGTGGGAAGGACCGGTACGCATGCACGAGTCGCCGGATGGTCTAATAGTATCTGTTACTAATAACTCTATATGACCGATTGCCTATGGGTGGTGCAGGAATGACCAGAAATAGACGACAGGGTTCGTAAATGGGGACGCCCTTGCGTCCTCCTCCTCGTCCTCCTCCTGCGCAGCCCCCCCTGACAAGCTATCGAAACGGCGGGGAAATAAGTCGCGTTGGCCTGCCCTTCAAAATCTCTTGACCTTTATTTAGTCTTGGCGTCTGTAGATCGTATCACAAAACAAGCAACGGGTATACTCAAAGATTGTTTTCCATCGTATGTAATGGTTTTTCTTGTATTGTCTCTGGGGAACTAGTCGTCCTCTTTCCGGGCAGTGGTCTCTGGCTGCGCTAAGCGGGCACGGCGCTCTCCACCTTGAGCTTGGAAGCAGCGTTCTCGGGAATTAATACACCTCGGTTGGTCTCCGCAACCATCCCTGCCGCAGTCCTACTCATGCCCCGTTTCGGGCCCGACAGTACTATGTAGAGGGCACAGCTTGCGAAGATGTCGGACGATCTGCGCGCCAACCTCATGATGGGGCACATGGCAGTGAAACAGGCTACGAAGCGAAGCAAGAACAGGCGACAGCAACGTCACGTGTTTTGCATTTCAAGGTCGTAGTCCTCACAGCGAGGCTTATGAGAGGAGGTTACATAAGCCAGACGCGAGGCGGTTTCTAACACCCTTCAGCATTATGAAACCGTCACCCTAGCGGGTTCCACTCGAGTAAGCATAGATAGTGTTGATATAGGAATTCCATTTCTTTCAAAGCACCAACTACTACCTCGTGATAGCTGCGGTCGCAGCATAGGACGGCGCGGCTCCCCGGACAGCGTCGTAGCAGAGAATGTGACATGTCGGTTGCAAGTTTAGTGCCTACCCAGCTCGCCAGGGTCTTGTCGTCCCAATGTTGTGAATAAGAAGCGAGTCTAATCCGTTACGATTCCATCAGAACTATCTCCACGCCATCCCATCTCTTTCTGACAGCGGATAACCAACAGCATCCAGCTTATCTTCTTTCCTTTCTTTTTTTTTTTTTGTTATCTCAGAGCCCTGGTTGGCCTTTTTTCTTCTATCTATCGCCCAATAATCGCAGTTTTCTTATACCACCCGCCCGTTATTCACTTCACAAGATGTACGCCAGCCAGGTCTTCGCTTTCCTCCTTGTAGCGGCCACCGCTCTCACTGAAGCTCGCAAGTAGCCCCCCGAACAGAGCATTATAATGCTGGTATTAACACGTCACTTAGGCGCTATTGAGTCCCGTCAAATTGGCAACCTCGGCTGCAACGTCGCCCGCTTGAAGATCGTGAGCGCCATCTCGTCGACCAAGAGCAGCGTCGGCGATATCAAGGACCCGGCCGTCAAGGACGCCGCGGCGGCCGGCCTCAAGCAGGCCAACGACGGAATCGGCAAGATTGCGAGCGCTCTGCTCACCGGCCAAAAAGCGGCGGCGACGGACCGCGACACCGTGGCAGCTGGACTGCAAGCAACCGGCACGGCTCTGCAAGGGGGCGACCAGTACGTCTTTCCCCAACAAACTCGCACAAGACTGCGCGGCCGATGCTAACTAGGGATGTGTAGGACTGATGACGCAGTGAAGAAGGCAGGGGAATCCCTCCAGAAGGCGGTTGCTGCTGGACAAGACGTCGTCTCTAAATGCAAGTGATTGCTCAGGGGTCAGCAAAGAAATACTTAATAAATTCTCATTCCAAGTCCCATCTTCAGGTATACAGCCTTGTTGGTTTTCGAGACGTAGCACCTGTGGGCCGAAATTTGCGCCAATGGATGAAGTGAATGAAAACTTGCCTGGGCCGTATACATACCGTCCCCAGGGCATATCTTCCAGATGCAGACCTGAATACCTGTCTTGTTCATCCGCAGTGCGGTCGTAGTGTGCGTTACTGGGACCCGTTCCAGAACTGTGAACCAGCCCCCTCGACCTTCGCCTCATTCGGAATGCTGTCTTGGTCCAAACAGATCTTGGCTCCGCCTCCGACCTCGCCCCCACCAAACCCGGAACCTCTGATTGCGTGAGTAATACGGTAGATGTCTGCCAATTGTCTGTGTCGGTGTGCTTGTATCAATATTATGGATATGCTACTGCAGAAGTTGGCTTATTAATGGGGAGGCCAAAAAAACCGAGATGCGGCCCAAAAAGCGGTTACAATGAACCATATACTGGCCAAGAGAAGGATCACATCTATACAAACTTTGGGAATGCCAACCCCCCCCCCCCCCCCCCTTCAATGGGTCTTGTCGCAGCTGCCGTCGACACGGTCGTCTGTCATCAAATTTTTCCGTCTGGGTCATTGAGCTGGTGTAACATTGGAGGGTGGCTGAATGGGAGCCAGCGATGAAACCTCGGACTAGGAAGAATCTGAAGATTTAGAGCCTATACATTTTAAAACAGTTGAAAACTGTCACGGATTGCATGAATTACCCTGAATGGTCGCCCGTGAATGACAACCCCTGGCCATTTCAAAGAATCTAGCATCCGTGAGGCAGTCAGGCTGGCAGCTCAGGTATTAGTCGTAAATGCGTCTTCACAATAGGGTCACACTGATCAACAGCTGAGGCGCGATGGAGCTACTTGGGAAACAGGGTGTATGTTCTGCATTGTCACGCGTCAAAACACGGCCTCCGGCAAAGCATCAGGTCACCTGCGTTCCCATAACGCCGTGCATTAATTAGTACGGTGTCTTGGTACATACAAACAGCAGAAGCAAAATAAACCTCTGTATTCCCATGCGCCAAAAGCTCGGCCAAGCGTCCACCCGTACGAGACCATATTCGTCCTCTCAGGATGTTGCCTTGCAAACTGAGTAGCTGTTGAAGCCTGACGCTTGCTGCCACGTCGTCAGGTGTTCGATTAGCGTCGGGTCGATATCCCGATTGGCTTTGATGAATATGGTCTCGTATGGATGGACATTTGTGCCGAAGTATTTGCCGTTCCAGAGAACGTCGCCATTCTGCGACGTATCGCACTCCTCAATGTAGTTCTTCGATTTCTGGAACGCTGCCATCATCAGGTCGACCTTGTAGCCTTGCTTCAAAAAGATGGTAGTAGTGCCGACCTCAGCATGCACTGCTTGGTTCCAACCATCGTAGCAGCCGCCCATACCGACGACGTCGTTTTCGGTGCCAAAGTCATCCTTTACGGATGAGCCTGGAGGGGGGTTGAGGAGCAGTTCGATGCCCACTTCGTCCGTGGCCCAGATCATGGACTGGACGTGGAACCGGGGCCAGCAGTTTGCCGTCATACCGACCAGCTAGTGTCGACGTCAGTACGAGGCAGCGATTGGAAGACACGGCACGTCAGTCTTACCTTGACCGTATCCGTAAGACGCCCAAGATACAGGTCGCTCCAGCATGATTGGGCCCAATGAGGGAGGAACGGGCCACGGATGCTCGCATTCAGTGTGATGAAGCGCTTGTACTTCTTATACAAGTCGTCCTTGCGGAGGACTTCGCCATACGCGCCAAGATCGAAGCAGGTATTGGGACGGCTGATGACTCTGATGTTCTGCTTTTGCGGAATGATTGCCCCCACGCTCGTCTCTCCGTTGAGAATGAAAATGAAGTCGGCGGCATCATGCAGGCCCTGGTTGACGAAGAACTTGAGATTCTCACGGGCGGTCTCAGATTCGGCGAAAGCATAGAGGATCAGTGTCCTGCCGTAGTCTTTTAGGGCCGGGGGCGAGGAGGACGATTGTGGTGTGGTCGGCCCTGTGGCAGGCCTGCCATTGCTCTCGGCCTTGCTTGCGTCTGCGCTCGTAGCATGTTGTGAGCCCTGGGCGGATATCGGGGAGGCTTTGTTGGCAGTTTTGTCCCCCTCGCCTTCGTACCAAGGCGGAAGCGAAAGCTCAGGCGATAGGGCAGGCGTCGACTTGTCCGGCGAGTTGTATTCAGGTGTACTTCCAGGCTTCCCGTCCAGCTGGTTCGGCTGGTGTCCCGGCTCCTGTGTCTGGCGAGGCTAGGGGTCAGATAGCCACGAAGGCGATGGCTGGTTAGGGACTCACGATTTGTGTGGATGTTGTGGAAGGCGTTGACGAGATGAAAGTCGACAGGCTCCACAGGAAGAAGAGGAAGATGACCCCACCGATAACGGATTGTCTGTTGACTGGGAGTGTAGATACCATACTAGGCGACTTTCGTCAGCTACAGGCGATCGAGCGTCAACGATTTCGTGCGAAGATGGTTATTGTCGAAAGAGAGCTATTCAACGGGAGGTAATGGGCCAGACGGCGAGCCCCGCAAAGGTCATGGAAATGCGGTCGTGGTAATTGGTATTTGCAGCAAGCAGGGCCTCAAGTCGCCGTATCCAAGAACATCAACCGTGGCAGCTGAAAAGAGGATGATGATGGCAAAGCACCTAGGTGAACGAAGGTAGGGGGACTGCTTTCACGTTGGAGAAGACAAAACACAAGCAGAACAAGGGGCCCATGTCGAGATCAGGGTGCTCTACATGTAGACTGGAGCTGCGCGTCGCTTCTACAGAGCGCGACTGGAGAGAGAGCGGAATGTTACTTACAATGTCAGGGAGGTTCAGCCATCCACCGCAACCATGCTCAATGCTAGGCTATCCCTTCGAGTGCCACTGGACCTCACATAACCCAAACGTGGGTCTCTGCAGGTAATTACTAACAGCTATTGGATACTTAGCCTGGATTGCTGTAGTCTTATTGGTCTGAGGTTATGTGAGGTCCAGTGGCACTTAAAGGGATAGGGGGCGGACGCGGCGGGATGCCTAGTATCTAATTAGCATGTAACTGTCAATACGCTTGCGTACCTAGCCAAACAGTGCTGTTACTGCCCGATGCGGATACAATGTGCTGTCATCGACTTCGCTTCAGCGACGCTGCACGGCGCACGCTGAAGAACCCGAAAGATCAGAGAGGACCCGTACCAAATCTGTCATGGTTGGTGCCATGCGGGACATGTCCCCACCCCACGTTCCGGCCGTGGCGCACGTTTGCGACTAGGTAACTGGGTCAATTGTCTGTCTCATGGGCGTGTTGATTTGATACGCCGGTTCCATCCATCTCGTGCTTGGCTTCCGGAATGCGCGCTTAAACCAACAGACATGCTTAAACCGCTTCTCCATTTCGGAAAAAGAGCGGTCGCTAATAGACTTGTGCCCTTGTGCATCTAGACAACAATGCTGCAAACTCGCCTCATGCCCATCGTCTGAGGTATGAGGCCCATTTTCTCTATGCGGCATTGCAACCAGGCAACCATGATTACTACCCCAACCGCCAGAGCCTTGATGGGCTTTTCCCCGCAACTCTGTGCGAAAGTCCCAATGTACCAGAGTTGCTGCTGCTTGTTACATTGCTGCACGAGAGCTGGCCAAGACAACTCGGCCGACGTGCCTATCTGGGAATGGAGTCGGAGATGCCATCTGTATGTCGAGCGGGGGTTGCAACAAGTGGAGAGGCGCGCCTGATCTCACCTTCTGTTTGAACTAGTCTAGTAGTCGTAGAAGATAATGCCGTACGTGCTGCGAACTTACCAACTCCCAACGAAGACTTTCGGCCGCCTGCAATTTGTTGGTGGAAACAAACGAAGATAACGAGACTACAAATACACACATATACTCACACACACACACACACACCATGGCCGCTGCTGTCACGATTCAACCGCCCCTCTCCCGTAGGGGCCACGGTCCGGGTTTGCTTATTCTGGTAGAGCAGGGCATCAATCTGTCCAAACACGACAACATCTTGGACCCTCCTCCGGCTCAGAAATGGGCCGAGGAAGGCTACGCGGTTGCGCAGATCATCGTCACGCCCGGAGCCAACGACGTCACAGACTCAGTCTCCTCGGCAATCGAGAGTCTCAGAGAGCTGGACAGTTGCGACGACAAGGACAAGTTCGGTGCAATTGGTAAGCGGGTCGTCGTGCTTCCTTGCACGCCCGTGGTGATATCTCTTCTGACGCCCCTCAACAGTCCTTCTCGCTGCCGCTTCTCAACACGTCGCTGACGCTCTGGATAAACGTTCTGAGATCAAGGCCGCCGTCTTCTTCAACTTGGACCAGGCACTCGCAGTCCCTACCCTGTCGCATCTGCCCGGAACCCAAGCTGAGGCACACAAGGCTATTTCTACCACCAAGACGTACTCGTATCCCACAGCCCGTGATTTCTTCGTCATCCCGAGCCACCCAAACTTCAATGCCAATGCCGCCGGGCTGGCGCACACGCGCACGTTGACGTTCCTCAAGCCGATACTCGGCGGGCCCTACTTCGACCTCGAAGCCGTCTGGGAGGAACACACTCTCTTCGAGTTTGGCGAGCGAAGTGTCGATAAGACTATGGCCACCATGGTCGAGCAGCCTTATGTTAGTTCTTATTGGCTGTTGAAGCGTGACAATGATTATGCGGCCATCTCTGACAACACCAACGACAGGTCAATCATATTCCCACGCTTACTGGTGGTGTCGGCCGAGGGCGTTTGACGAAGTTCTACAGAGACCACTTCATCTTTAACAACCCAGATGATACCGAGCTCGAGCTGGTCAGTCGTACAGTGGGAATCGACCGAGTCATTGATGAGTTCGTCTTCAAGTGTACCCACGATAGGATCATTGACTGGCTGTAAGCACCCGTCAACCAACGTGGAGGGGAATCCCATTCTAACATAGTCTCCTAGACTCCCTGGTGTGCCGCCTACCGGGAAGCATCTCTCAATCCCATTCACCAGCGTCGTCAATGTACGGGGAGACCACCTTCATCACGAGCACACCGCGTGGGATCAGGCGACCGCGTTGCGACAGTTGGCGTTGCTGCCGGAGTATCTCCCCTTCCCCTACCAGATCAACGGAAGTGGTCCGGCGACGGGGAAGAAGTTCGAGTTTAGGCTGCCTGTTGCCGGCGTAGAGTCAGCCCATAAGCTGGTGGACGAAAGTGCAGTCGAGTCGAATGCCATGTTTGAGTATGGAATAAGAGAGGTCGACGTCTAGCCAGCTTGTAGCCGCGTACGTCAGCCAGGGCCCTCCCATGACTAGTCGAACCAGATGTGCAGTAAAACCTTGAATGTCTGTCGGCTTGGCACTGCCAGCTGCTATATCAGATGATGCTATTTTGGTGGCGTTTTCGCTCCTCTGTTTCTTTCTTCCTTTGACTTATGTTTGACTTGGGAAAACAAACGCACACATCATAAGTCGCGGTAGCCTCGGTTACGGTTTGAACCCATTTGTAAGAAAGGATGCGCGATGGAGGGCGTTCCTGCTGCTGATTCGAGTCCATCAGAGACCTTTGCCCACCTCAGCAGACCTCCCGGTTGATCTTGACTCGTATACTATACCTGGAAGACATGTCATCACTCGAGGATGAAGAGGGGCGCGGACGAGATCCTTTTACCAGCGGACTCGCTCTCGCTTTTCTCGGCCTAACTCAGTCCTAGGGTAAAAGAGGGACAAAGGGAGTTGCGCCAGGGTTGATGGGTGGAACAGTCGAAACCAGTTGGAAACCCCATATTGGCCGTAGCAACGAAGGTCCTTGATTATAGGTGAGCGATTTGTAGTTGAAGTTGAGCCTCAACCTCCCGCTCAATTTGTTAGTAATCTAAACGGTGGCTCCGGCTGGCCCGCCGGGTATGGGACGGTCTTTGTTCACCGAGCGGTCAGGCGGAAAATGCGGTCGGTCTACTTCTGTACGTGTATGTGCACTACAATAGGTGAATCTGACCCTGGGGTTTCCCTTTTGACCCTGATAACACACGGACTTGTAAATCAGACACAGCAAGACATGTGAACTACGAAAAAGAGGTCTGAGATGTTGGGAGGACGGGAGAGCGCCCCCGTCCACCCGTGACGCGAGCAGCATGGCCCGGGGCTTGACACATGTTCCTCGTCCGGAGTCCAAGATCTACGCGCCAACGCGATGGAGGGTGATATGTGATGCCCTCCACCACAGCCACATCTGGTCGCCACCTCCAGCAAGAGGGACATCAAGATCACGTCCCGAAGCAACGCCGCACTTCGGATATAAGTGTGTATCACTAGGACGCTACCATGCCATCGTCCGCGGCTGTCCTTGTTGGCTACCGCTACGAACTACCGAGTCCCAGTCTTGAGGTCACTACTTTCTTCCGAGATTCCGGCATCGGAGCCCTCTGGCTGAAATGATGGTTCTTGTGCCCATGCCTCTCTATATGCCATTTCGAAGTAGACTTTCGGGAGAACCTGGCAGCACTGCAATGCGTTATAAGTCGTCGGTTGTTTCGCCTACCCAGCCAGAGATTTGGATACTGTATTGCTGGGTTCCCAGGAGCCGATGGATTTTTGCCGGTATCACAACCTGTCACCTTTAACGCCCCTTCGCGCGCGAAACTGCGCCAGCCGCCGTCCACGTCCGCTGGAGGGCGACCGTTGCCGCTGGTCGGGCCGGGGACTATGGATACGGCCCTTGGCGCTCTGCTACTAGTGGAAATCTGACATGACCATCCCGTTTCACCCGAGAGGCCACGTTGGGACGCTGTGTCGGCATGCCATCGAAGTTGTAACCGGTTTCATGTAGATAGATGTATGGTTCGGTTTAGCGCTACCAGAAACGATGGCGTTCCTAAAACATGTTCTACGGTGGTCTTCGCAACTCGATGTGCCGAATACTCTGTCTTTCTCCCCCCCTGTCGTCTTTTCCTCCGAAGGGAAACACAGCCGGGACCTACTACGCCCACTGCGGCACCAAGTGAGAAGTAGAGGCCCACCTTCCAGGGAATTATGTTGCGACCTTAGCTGTTAGAAGCAGCAATACGGATACATGGTGCTAATACACCAATTTGTGATCCTGGCGAACTCTAAGTACCTTTTGATCATTGACGGCCACCCACGCTCGAATACGGAATCTCGGCGCCATTAAAGTCGGGTTTAACAGGGGTTTATCTGAAGTAGAGGGTGGGGTGTGTACGTGTGTGTGGACAGCCCTCCCTCCCCAAGGCAAAGAATCAGGGCAGGCTGGCCCCCCCATCTGCAGAAACGCAGATCTGTATTTCCCTAATCGCCGTGCCGCGCTTCCGACCTGCGGCATGAAACTCCGCCCCTCCCCAAGCCAGGCTCTCGGAAAATGACAGAAACTTTACGGGTGCTTAGAACAGCTTCCTCTTGGACCACGAATGGTGTCAGGGGATACGTCGGCTTCTGGTTCCCTTGCTCGATAAACGAGCGAAAGGGCGTAACGTGTAGCCAAGGTCGAATGTAAACACGTCGCATCACGGTCGGTGTTGATGATCTGGTGCTAGGAATCGAACCACTCGAGGAGCCTTGGTAAGTGACGGCCATCGCCCATAATGGCCTGAGAGTCAGACGCCAATCACTACAGTATCGGGCTGTGACTCGTCCTACCAGACAAAGAGCAGACTCAGTCAGCTGTCGGCGAGCTGAATGCCTTCGATATGGCATGTCATTAACAGCTTTCATCATCCTCATGGTCCACACGATAAGTTTTGGCGCGTCAACTTTGCTTAACTTGAGGCTCATTATACTCCTCCATCTTTGGCGTCATTTCTCATCGAGATGTTTACTATACACTCTTTCTTCATGCCCCAGTACACCATTGGAATGCCCAAAAAAATCTGTTGTCCTTCTTCGTTTCGCCAGTCAATGCGTGATGTAAAAGGGAAGCCCGGCCATGTCCGTGCCTTATCGTCGGGTCCTTCCAGCGGCCACTCGAACGTACTAAAGACAGTCGTCTGCCTCATCCTAATATATAAGCCCCGGCGTAGTGCCGATAGGCAACAAGGTTCGTCAAAGGAAATAAGTACAAGAATGACTGTGCTGCACCAAAATGGTGCGGCAACAGCCCGAAGAATCGAAGGGGTATAAAAGTTGCGACGTCGCGCTAGGTGATGGGGGTCAGAAAAGGACTGAGCATCAAATCGTCAGCACTCGGGCGGAGGTTATGGTCCATCTCGAACGTCTGGGCAAGGAACGTCTTTGCATCGTCCGAAGCGTGGTCTGGAATCGTGGGTGCGGCCTTGCCACCGCCAATCTTGAAGATGGCTTGCAGCTGACTGCAGTCGGGGTAAGGGTGAGTACCCGTCATCATCTCGACGACCAAGCATCCCAGAGACCAGATGTCGGCCTTGCGAGTGTAGGAAGTCTGCTTGACCACTTCCGGGGCCATCCAGAATACGGAACCCTGGAGGGAGGGGCGGTGCTTATTGTTGTTCGCTCCGGAGAGAATATTGGTGGCTTCCAGCTTCTTGGAGATGCCGAAATCGGAAATTTTGATGTTACCCTTGTTGTCCACAAGAATGTTGGCGCCCTTGATGTCTCTGTGGATAATTTCGCGGTCGTGCAGATACGACAGACCTGTGAGGATCTGGCGCACGAAACTGCGGACAAGGGGCTCGGGCAGAGCACCATACGAGTTGAGCATGGTCTGCACCGAGCCACCGGGGACGTACTCGAGGAAAATGTTGAGGTACTCGGACGACGAACTGCAACCAAGATACTGAACAATATTCGGGTGTCGAAGGTCGCGGAGCAGACTGATTTCCCGCTTAAGGGCCTCGATCATACTCTTCTTACGCGCGTCGTTCTGGCTGTTCGTACCGGGAGCCGGCGCCTCCACCTGTTTCACCGCCAACAGCTCACCGGTGACGGCGTGCAGCGCCAGATAGACGCAGCCAAACGAGCCTTGGCCAATCATGGCTCCCTTCATCCACTTGTCGTCAGACCATGACTCTCCCGCAAGGAAGCTCTCAAGCTCTTCATCCGCATCCTCGCCGTCCTCGTTGAGCGCCTGCGTGAGATCCTTGAGAGATCCTGATCCAGATCCGGTGGAGCCTTCGGCATCAAAGTAGCTACGCCGAGTGATGTTACCTTCGGGGTCGGTTACGCTCAGAGCGGCAGCGCTGGCGCCGTCAGAGCTGTCGGCGAATGAAACATAGGACTTGCGGTTCGGCTCCAAAGGAGATTCCTCCTGCAAAGTGTCCAGCACCGAAGAGGCAACAGAATCACGGAAGTGGGTGACCCGCAGACCGGACCGTGCCTTGGGAGTGCTACCAGCCTGTAGCCAGCTGTCCGCGATGGTGGGGATTGGAGGAGCATCTTGGATGCTGGACGCAAAGCTGAGGTTACTTGCCACGCTCAGACGACTGTTGACCTTGCTCAGACGTGTTGATCTTCTCATGGACAGACGCGCAGTCCGATCGATCTCTTCTCTGGGATGGTCAGGGAAGTATGACGTAAGGTCGCAAGCAATGAGCTCGCTGGGAGGGCGTAGACCACCGAATGACCGCAGGAGCCCCTTATTTTTTCGCGGTCCGCCGCTAGATCTCGGGCCATCATTGGAAGCGGGACGTTCCAGTTCCTTGGCGGTATTGTAAACGTTACGTTCGCGATCGTGGAACGAAACGGGAGAAAGGGGGTGTTGAAGCTCGTCGTTCCATCTCTCGCCAAGAAGCTTCTGCACCTTCATTTGGCTCCTCTTGTCCACCGTTTCAAGTGCGCGGCTATGGTTCTGTTGGGCTTCCTCGATGGCGATACCCGCCGCTCTTTCAAGCTCGGGCATGCCCGGCTCGCCAGCGGGAACGCGGCGAAGAATCAAGCGGTTACGCTCAGGACGCTTCTGGTCTTTAATGATGCGCCAAAGTTCTGTGTCGCCCAGTCGACGGCATTGATTGGGGTCGGGCTCGACACCGGCCAGAACCCAGAAACAGTAATTCCTCTCGTGGTCCTCCCGCAAGGCAAACTTCCTAAGGGTGACTCGCATGACCTCTTCGCAGGTATTGCAGTCGGCAATCTTGACGACTTTGGTGACACCTCCAGTTGAAATGACGCGTATGACATCCTGGTTCTGCGGTAAGCCAGCCATCAGTGAACCATCCATACTGGAGTTATTCCTGGTATGGGAAGTTACCAATCGGCCGGTCGAGGGGACGGGGTTACCCATGTAGCCGGGACTTTGGCCATATCGTGTACGCAGAGGCCGAACCGCATCCGTTCCGGGCAGCGGTGAGGTGGGGCGGGAAGATGTGCTGTCAAGGGGTATCGTATCATATTGCCTTGAGTAGCGCTTGTTCATGGAAGGCGTGGGGGCGGCGCGAGAGCTCGACGCTGAAGGACGAGGCGATCCGCCGGACGACGGCGTGAACTGGTCCAGGCCACCAAACGAATCCTATGGGGTTTCAGGGTTAGTCATGTGCTTCGTTGCTGACACCCGCTACAGACATCCTCACAGAGGACCTGCTGGCAATAGAGCGGGTAAGATGAGACGTACTCTATTGCGTTTCTTCTGGTTGGCGTATGCCTTTGTCCTCAACTTCTTAATTCCAAGGAACAGGCGAACACGGTCGCCGACCTTCTCGATGCCCATCTCCTTGAGGACATCCTTGTCGAGCTCGAGGAGATTCTCGCCGTTGATGTGGTTCTTGCGGAAGAGCTTCTCATATTCGCCGCACTTGACGCTCCTCAGGTACTCGCAGACCTTATCCTCGTCCCAGTTCTTGACGGCGTCGGGACCGTCGCTTTCGGAGAATTCGGACTCGGTCGGGCTTGCATAGGCTGCGGGTTGGTTTGGAATTGCGGGTACCCGTCTCGAGGGCGGCACGCCGCCGCCGCCCGCCGAAACGCTGGGCATCATGGGGTTACCGGAGCCCAAGGGCGCTGTGAAGGCGGTTTTGGGTGCCAGCATAGCCATTTTGTTTTATCGTGAAATTAAAGTCGGCCAAGTGAGCATTGACTGGAAGAGACCGGAGTGGTTTATCGTGATGGTTGTTCAGGCGGGGTGTGTCTCAGCTGTCTCGCCTGGAGCGCGTCGTGGCGAGAAAGGTTTCCGTGAAGCGGGTGTCCGAGACAGGCGTCGGGCGGGACGAAAATGAATGCGTGCGAGAGAAGCGAGAAAATTATTGAAGCGGGAGTACTGCGTATGCCGAAGTCTCTGCGATGAGCCTCTTCACTGCCGGACCGTGAAGGTCTGGTTTCTGCTAAGACACACAGCAGAAAGGAGTTTGGAGAAGGGCAAGAGTCGTGTGTGGAATCACGGGTATTCCGGCCGGTTGGGAAAAAGAAGAGGGAAGAGGAGGGTTAAAGATGGATTTGGGGTGCAGGGAAGCAAGCGGCAGCGGCAGGGAGGGGGGGGCGTGTATTGTGTTTGGGGAAGAGGGGGAAAGGGGAGGAAAGTGGTAAGGAGGGTGCAGCCTCAGGTAAGGTACCTCAGCCCTGAGCGGCACCAACAGCGAGCAGCGGGTATATTGGCGCAACAAGCTTCCCATGCATCGTCCTTTGTATGCGTCTACTGTCACAGCAGTCCGTGATAGGAAATGGGATGAGAAGCGATGAATGCCTCCAGCAGTCATGTAGGATACATTGGCAACAGCAATACCAGCAGCGGCAATAATAGCAAGACACAGCCAAGCAACGGCAGAGCTACAAAACACACGAGAAGCAGCACAGTCCTCATAACGGCCCTTCATGCGTCTGTTCGCCGAGCTGGCGGAAACTTGGGAGAAACGCTGAAGCTTTCCGGCTGGCTGGGGGGATACGACAACAATGATGCGGCTTAATGACTGATGTTTTGTTTTGGATCTAGGTGAGGCTGCTGTTGATTCGTCTCTCGGGATGAAGGAAAGGAAGAACAACTCGGGTCAAAGCCTGTTTCTTCATACCACCTACTACCTAGCATAGGTAGTATTATTACCAGCTGGCTATCGCGGCCGGCTTCAGTGGGGTGTTTGGTGTGTCACTTACAGCCGAATGGCACCTCGATCCGGCCAAACATTTCTTTCGGGAGATGCTACTCTTCCCACCGGTGACCTACCTATTGAGTGTTGGCGGCAGTACTGTACGAATCCGTCGCTCGCCTGGTTATCGCCCGCGACTGAGGATGGCCTCCTTCCCCTTCCTTCCTCCCTCCTTTCTTTCTTGCCTCCCTTCCTTCCTTTCTTGCCTTCCCGCTCTCAACTGGTTTATAGGTACTAAGTACCTTGGTCCCCCCCCCCTTGGGCCACACATACCCTTGGCAACAGCCAACCTTCAAAAGGGCGTTTACAAGGGTTGAGCGACGGCGGCGGCTTCTTGAAACTGGCTCAAAGCAGGGTCAAGAGACCTTATGAGGGACAGCCTCGGGTAGGTACTTCGGTCCCCCACCCATGCTTTGGCTCGCGGCACCATCAACGGCACCACCAAACCTTCCCAGCTTCCGCAAGTAGAAAAGTATAGTACCTACCGGGTAGTGTAAACTGCTCTGCCAAGACTGCCAGGTACCCGAGGAATTACTCAGCGGCACCACTTTTCCCCCTTCAACATGCAATTTGCGCTTTGCAATGCGCTGTCATGCATCCCCCGTCCATCACCCAATTGCCGCCGATCGGAAATCTCGTCTCCTTCCACCACTGTACGACAACATGAAGGAAGGTCTTTACTTCGTCGCGGCATGTCCGCCCAAAGTGACGAACCAGTGCTCTTATTCATCGGTTACGGACACATGGACAAGACAGAGGTTCTCTCTCCCGACTTAGAGACCAAGAGACTACAGTCAGACATCGCATCCGAGGGTAATGATACTCGTGGTCTTGAAGCCGGTCCAGCTGACGACTGAGCCCCCGATTGTTCTCGAAAAAGCCTGCAGCCCAGCGCCGCCCGATTCTTTCTTTGGAACCAGACTCTGACACGGATACTACCTACCTACTTACTGCAGTGTACCTATTACTGGCACCGACCAACTAACCGCCCGGCCTGCCCGCCCCCTTGCTTGCGGGTGGCTGTTCTCAACCACCAGCCCATCTAGCGGTAGCCACCTTACTACTACATCGCGTCGCTCTGCCGCACCGCGTTTGCTTGCTGGCAAAGAAGTTAGATGGCGACCTTTGTCCTTTGACGAAGCCACTCACAATAAGGCAAATACACCACGAGCACGGCCTCCTTTGTGGGCCGGCAGATGCCGTCCTATTATTAGCCTATACATCTACGACCGCCTGCCCAAGTTCACCCTTCTACTCCGTAGAGGTGGCGATACAGAGTCCTCCATTAGCACTTCACCCCACTGCGACCCCCGCTCATTGGGAGTCGTCCTCACAACCAGTCAATCCCTGGCATCAACGATGTCAACAACAATACCCGACATCGCAACCTTTGTTCGTCTCCGTCTCTCTTGAATCACGAGACGGCCACAGGCCCCACCACTACAAAAGCACCTCCGCTCGCTCCACTCCCTTCGGACGATAGGCGAAGGCCAAAGTTTGAATCGGTTGCTGGTCAACAACAAGCCTGTCTGTTGTTGAAAGGCCCCAGTGGAGCTGGCCCCTGACACCGCGATGATTAGGTCTCATGCGCTGGCCCAACGCACCCTGACAATCTGACCGCAACCCCTATGTGCTTTCACCAGGGGAGCATTGCCACTAACCATCGCGAATGTCCAACCAGAAGATGCCGCTGCTAGCTGCTCCCAAATCGCATCGAATTGCTTGCAGCTACCTCGCCATCAAAAGCTCGCTGGCGGAGGAGTCTATACCCAGCGTGGCAGGGAGTCGAAAGGATCGTCCTCGTCTATCGGTGATTGGCTCCAATACGCCCCCCCCGCAATCACTGAGGGCTGTATGGCATGAAACCGGTTGTGTCGCATGTCTCGACACCCACTGCGCTTCGCTGCAACCCTGATTCACCCAACGCTGGGCGCCAATGTCCTGCTACCTTCTCACGCTACCTTCTCACTGGTGCTCACCAGACCACCAAGGCTCACCATCACGACACCAACGCACCGAGTCTCCAGATTCTTGGCACGTTGGCTTGAAAGACGGAGTCGCACTTCTGCAAACTGAGGCCAGTTGGCGCCCTCGGATTGATCGACACAACCACGCCAGTCTGAGCCGGTCGACACTACCGCGCGGAGGACGCTCACCGTCACTTTCGGCGTCGTGGATTATCCTGGCAGGGCTGCCCGCCTTCAAGAGCCTCTTCGGCTTCACTTGCACGTCGTTGACCAATCACCGCTGCTCTCGGTTTAACACACGGGGTTTTTTCAATCCCGAGAAGCCTATGCGGAGCCGCATCCTCAAGCGTATTGACGAAACGGCCTGTCGGGTCTTCGCACCTATTCCTCGAAACCATACCGTATGTAAAACCTGCGTGCCACCCGGCCGGGACGTTGTAGACATTCGTTTAACCCTTGCCATCCGAAATAGTGGTCTCATAATCCACAGGCGCGTTGTTGAGCGAATACATGAGTGGAGAGAGAGCTCATTAGGGGTTTTTTTTTTTTTTTTTTTTTTTTTGGGGGGGGGGGGGGGGGGGGGGGGGGGTTTTCCCTTTCTGCTACTCGTACGAGCCCGCCATGTGACACACCGCCAGCGTCAGGACACCTTGCTACATATTGCTTGTGACAGCTCAAGCCTTTGCAATAACGGGCTAAGGGTTGTTACTGTTACGGCTAAACAAATCTGGCCGTCGGGGATGCGCTCGTATGTATGTGTACAGGGGCTACTTCCTTTTTTCTCCTGCGCCCTTCGATCCACGGGGCGCTTGAATTGGAGTAGCGCCGAATTGCTTTTTGGTGAGTGTTTACCCCAAAGATGCTATTTTCAAACGGATGACTACGCACCTGCAGCACAATCTACCGGTCATGCATATCACGATCTCTACGGATTGTCCTCGAAGGTGCGTGGGTGTGTGATACGCAGCCATGAGGAGGAAAGAAGTTGTGGCCCGATGATGAGTAGAGAAAACTAAGCAACTGGGCGCTTGGCACTCCTGGGCCGGCCTTTGCACCCGAGGATGACTCTTAGAAACTGACGATACTCTAGTGTGTGCGTCCACGAGTGCGCCTCTCGCGTTTCAGCCTGGGTCGTCTTTGACCGCTTAACAAGAGCGTTCCCCTCCACTGAAGAAAGAAAGAAAAAAAAAGCCGTATCCGGCCATCTGGTCAGGCCAACAGAGGGCCAGCGTGGCCTGGTCAGAGCGGGCGTCAATAAGTCTGAAACATGAAACATGGGAGGATCTGCCTCGCATGTCATTGGTGCTAGCGTGGGTATCGTACCAAATCTGTCAGTGAACAATACCTAAAACCCTGCAAGCGGCCGACGGAGATCGGATTGTGAGAAGTCCTTCCTCCCGGCGCTCCGGCACCTCACCACCCTTGTCGCTCATCACGTACTGTGGGCTTTGACCCAGGCCTTGCTGCGCTTCGTTGCCAGAGACGTGGAGACCCGGCGACAAAAGGCCGCAACGCACCTCTTCGTTGCAACAGGACTGCGCATGTAACGTTCCTGGCTAATTAACGTCAGAGCAGCAACACGTCACGATTTGCGTAACCAAACACAGTGCCGAAACCAAAGGGGGTGTGAACTATGGCAGCTTTCATATCTCGTGCGAATACGACGAAACAAAACTTGGACGTCGTCTTCTTCCGAAGGTCTCCTAAAAATGGTCGCCTAAAGACCGACTCGCGTAGGTTTCGTTTCGTTTGCTGCATATGGGGCAAGACGTCGCAAATAGTAACAAGTCTAATATAAGCCCTTGTACTCGATACGGACGGGCAAGGTTTCTCACGACTCGAGCAAAGCATAAAAGAAAAAAGGAGAAGAAGAAAAAAAGGTTCAAGCTCGCAACCTGAAAGCCAGTAGATAAAAGTTGTGATGAACACCATCCACGGACTGGGACTGGTTGGTGTGGAAACTCGATAAAATGAATAAAAAAATAAAAAAATGATAATGCGCATGACAGGGCGGTGCCGGTTTGCCAGTCGCCAAAGTCCGTCGCAACCCGCTCGCCACGGAACCAACTCGCAAAGTCCGGCTCCATACGGCCTGTCGGGCGGGTCATTGGTTCTCCGCACGGCCGGCTCTCGGCTCTCGGGGGAACCAGTCTTTAACCCCTCTCCCGGCAGCGACGGAAGGCGGGAACGCAATGGTCCTCGGACCCCGATGTCTTGCGGTGTAGAGACGGCATTGGCCCGTTCCCGGTGTCTCTGGCAGACGCGGAGCATATTCACTCATCTATGATGCTGCTGTCTAAGTAATGTTCGCCCAGGATGTGATGGAGTGTCACTGGCTCTACAAATAAGGAAGGGGCCAAAGGTTGCAATGTTGTTTACTTGGACATCGCGCATTCTTTCGATTCGATCATTCCGAATTTCCAAGGAGTTTGCTGTCGGGTTGACTGAAGGGTATCAAAGCTCCAATGTTACAAAAGGGTGATTGTGAGAACACCTCCTAGCTGGTGAAGCTGCCCGCGTTGCGTAAAGACTTGGCGCAGTGCCGCCAGTGATTGAACCGAGTGGGTGGGGCACTGTTCCCCATGCCCCGCGAAGAAAAAATAAAAAATTTAGAAGAAAACCACCACCCCTCCTTGTAATAAGGGAGTGTGCGTTCCACGGCTCCTCCAAAATCGACACGACGTTTAGAAAAAGAAAAAAAAAAAAGAAAGAAAAAAAGGATCACCAGCCCTCCACAACCCCATCAACCCTATGGCCCGTGTGTGACAGTTACCAACATCGCTGGTGAGGTTTTTGTTCATACTTGATATATTACGAGGAACGTGTGCTTGCAGTTTGGCGAGATCGACCGCGTCCCGGTGCGACACCCCTCCCGACGCGGCTACCCGGCGCACCGGAAATAAACGGCTGTTTGATTCCACAACGTCGTGCAAATGAGCGTCCGACTCTGAACCCCTCCACCCCCGACTCCCCGACTCCGACTCATCCACAACCCGCCGCTCTCATCATTTCTTTGTTTTGTTTCGAAGGAGCAACAGAGGCGGACAGGCGACACACGCCTCTTGCAACCATCACATCGAACTTGACAGCCATGAGTGACAAGTCCCGGGCCCCGGTAGAGACTGCTGATGCCAGGGGCGGCGGCAGCGTCAAGCCGCTGGTGGGATTCCTGGGCCCTCAGGCCTCGTACACGCACCAGGTATCACGAACCTGAAATCCACCGCCTCGCACGGCATGAAAGGCCCAATGAATCGTCATCTAACAGTTTTCTCTTCACTTTGTGTCGCAGGCTTCATTGCAGGCTTTCCCCGAAGATCAGTGGGACCTGAGACCCGTCGTCACCATCACAGGCAAGTCTTCTCACGCATACCTCCCTTTCCCCCCTTGCTTTCTTGGCCCTGCCGTCTCCCGTCTCCTCCCATCGGCCCGGACCGTCGAGTCTTTCGGCAGCGTCTGACTAAGGCCGCAGACATCTTCGAGATCGTGCAAGCCGGCGAGGTCGCCTTTGGCGTCGTCCCCGTCGAGAACTCGACCAACGGGTCTGTGCTGTTCACACTCGACAATTTCGCCGACCGCAACGGCCTGTATCCGGATATCTCGGTGTGCGGCGAGATCTACCTGGACGTTCACCACTTCCTCGTCGGTCACCGCCCCTCCCGCACCATCGACGACGCCGCCGGCCCCGGCGATGGCTCCGGCGCCTGCACGCCGACGGCATCGGACCCGAACCCGCTCAAGCCCCGGACTAAGCCGCTCTGCAGCCTCAAGCACGTTCGGCGCCTGTACTCTCACCCGCAAGCCTGGGGCCAGTGCGTTGCCTTCCTGCAGACCTACCTCAAGGGCATCGAGGCCATCGACGTCAGCTCCACGAGCCGCGCCGCCGAGCTCGTCGCCGCCGACGAGTCGGGCACCAGCGCCGCCATCTCGAGCGAGATCGCCGCCCGCATGCACGGCATCGACGTGCTGGCCCGCAGCATCGAGGACCGTGAGGACAACACGACCCGCTTTTTCATCATCCGCAAGGAGGGCGGTCCCCGGACCAAGCTGCCTGGCCACTGCGAAGGCAAGCGGGGCAGGACCAAGTCCATGGTGTCATTCACGGTGCCGCATGAGGGGCCCGGCGCGCTCGCCGACGTGCTTGACTGCTTCCGTCGGTACAAACTCGACCTCACAAGCATCAACAGCCGGCCGAGCCTGACGGCGCCGTTCAACTACGTCTTCTTCGTCGAGTTCGCGGGGCACAGGTTCCAGGACCCCGACAGGAGGGTCAAGGGAGCGCTGGAGGGAGTAGCCCGGGTGGCAGAGAACTGGCGGTGGCTAGGGAGCTGGGAGGACCAACGGTCGTGAGGCGATTGATGGAGGGAGGGGGTGGCGGAGGACCGTCGGTCGGGAAGCTCATGACTTTATCCCTGGTCTTCTACACTACCGCCTCCCTCTCACGTTCCAGAGAAACCTTCCATGGCCAGAACGAGACCTTTGCCAGCGTTCGGGGCTCGTGGGGGATGGATGTCGGCGTTACCAGAATCGGACCGGCCCTGGCGATGGCCGGCGATCCCCGGGTGGAACATGCTTCGGGGTCTACAGATACGTATCGCTGCATTGTTAGAGAGTTGTGGCCATGGGCGGAGGGGGCTTCGCTGCCGAAGGGTAGGCAAGCAAACAAGGAGAGTTAATTGGACAGAGCAGGCCTAGATTGGCTGACGACATCGCAGCCCATGTCGGTTCGAGAAACGAGATGCATCGGAGGACCAGGAAAAGGAGCGTGGGATGGCCCCCTTTCCCGCACCTAGCCATTGTGTAATGGAAACAGCGAGTCGCCGCTGCGGAAATAGTTTCTCTGTGTACTGCCCCCTTCTGAGCCTGGCCGTTCTTGCGGCCTCTTTCTCTTCCTCTTTTTGTTCTCTTAATCCCCACCCCCTCCTGTCAAATTTCCCCTTCGACCCTGGTTCTCTTTGATGGGTGGCAAATACTTGGAAACGACACTGGAAAGTGAGAATTCCCCGCCGAGCGGTGGCATCACGAAACCCCCAGTGACTATACTGCGAGAGGCGAAAGGAGGTGTTGCCGGGATTGCGATTAGAGTCCGCCGTCTGATTTCAGGAAGGAGAGGGCGCGGGGAGAGACAGCTGATGAGTTGTCACCTGCAGTTTTTCTCATTGGTTTTTTCCCCCCCTTTCCTATTTGTCCCCCTCCAGCGCGAGTAGAGGAAAGCGACAGGCCTACCGCTACGGGCCACATGGTATCGTGAGATGAATCGGTAGGGGGGCCGGCTGGTCGCGTGCCTACAATGTCTCACAACCCCCAAAATCTCACGCGGTATAGGCGAAAACAGCACAGCCAGGCAGGCACCAAGCAAACCCCTAATCAATGGCACCGAGCCCCGTGACGGCGCGCTTCTAGGGGCATTTCCTTCACGCAAGAGCTTCTTGAAGAATGGAGGCCAGTGAGTAGGGCCAAAGTTTCTCTCCGAAGCTTTGCAACTGGTGTGTGGAAGGGGATGAGAAGCTCTTGCAACTGTCTAGCGTGGCGAGTTTGGCACATGTTGGGGGGTTGTCATAAGCTCTGCGAAGCTCTGTGAAGCTCCGCAACCAACCAGCAACCCCTCTTTCCCCTCCTCCCTTACCTCAAGTGACGGTTAGTTTTGGGTGATATCTATCACCTTCCGTTTTGTTGGGGAATCAGGTTATGGTGGACCGGTAACTCCACGCCCATTACGTCCCTATTACGGAACATGGGCAAGAAATGCAGAGACCTTGCTCGTAGTTGCAACGACCCTGCAAGAACCTGCAAGTCGCAGGGACCTCATCTGGATCCCATGGATATGGTCCATAAGTTGCTACCCATGAGCTTGGTAAGGTAATGGCTGAATGTTGATATGTTGGGTCTTTCCACTACGCGCGAGCTTGACTTCTCTGGGCTAATGGAGTTGCGCTGGACCCAGAATGATGCTCACGGTCCCGCGTTGTCTCCACAAGACGACAGGTTCCCGCCGCGGAACGTCTCCATTTTGCCCTGTTGGTTCTTCTTTTCAAGTGTTTTTCTTACCCAATGGGAAATCTAGCGAATATGCGTATGCCAGTCTCCGGGAACCAGTGTGGAATTCGTACCCACGTAAGAAAAGTCGAATATCCGCAATGCCCTTTTTTAGCTGCTTGTCTGGATACAGACCACGGAAAAAAAAAGAGAGAGAGAAAAACCGTGGCAGGACAGAGTTTTCTCGACTCTCACTCAGTCCCTGTCCGCGCAAGGCAGAGGAAGGGGGAAAAGCGGGTTTACAACACTCGGCATCGATCCTAGTGCTGCTGCTTGGGGGGGCGCAGAGGCGTAGTGGTTCCAATTGGTGTGCGCCGGATGGATTCCTTGTGCCATGACGTCTAGTGCGCAAAGCAAGACAAGGTTCGTGGTGCGAGACGCCCTCTCGACAAAGGTACCAGGCCAGAACCGTCTGGTCTCTGGACGAGGTATCTCTCGACACGGCTCCCGTACTGCTTCTCGACCTTTTTTCTCCCGGCCTCGTGGCGGGAGTACTTTCGTCTCGCCCGAGCAATACATGGCGGTCTACTTGCCGGTCTTGGGATCTTGTCAAACTGAGCTTGCTGCTGCAAAAGCTCAACCTAAGTGGGTGGAAGGGACATGACACTTCCTCTCTGTCGCCCCTTCTTCCCAACTTAAAGAGGGGGGGGGGGGTGTGACCGGGTACCACGGTGGCCAAGACGCATCGAGGAACCCAGTAGTGGTCACTCTACGTATCTCACAATTCAAGCCGAACGGCTGTCGGCCAAGGCAGTCGGAGGGGACGCGAAGCGTAGTCAAGTGGTATGGCGAGCGGCCGTTTGCCGTCGCTGTCGGCGCGCGAGGCGGGAGTTGCAGAGCTTCAGGGAGGGAAGCAGAGCTGGACCAAGAGGGAGCAGAAACGATTTATAACCAGCTCTCCCTCCCCTTCTCGCCCCCCTCAATTTCGCCATCGATACCTTGTTCTGTCGACGTTAACGATTCTGCCCATCCTACATTTTTGTTGTTTAGCCTCAGCGACAAGAGCTTCTGACAACGGTCCGCTTCCGCAATACCAAATCCAGTCTTGTGTTCTAGGAAGCTCTGCAACTCACACCGGGTTCCTCCCCCCGCCCGCCTTACCCGTGCGAGCATCCATTTGAATTGCCCATTGGCAAGCCGGATTTCCCCATTCATCCTAAGAAATTGAGGTGCTTCATCATGGCTATCACGCCTTCGAAGCCAATCTTCTGCGCGACCCACCCCAGGGCTTGCTCTACGGCCTTTGAGCGGGTAAGACTCCCATTCCATCCCGCCTCTATGGCCTGTTGGCGGCTGCATCAAGGCCAGGACGAGCGAGCACGCAATCCCGCCCGTCCCCTCCCCGTCCACCCTTCCCAAACTGGACAAGGTTCAGGGTGTGTGAATCGATCGGGAATGGTGGGCTGGGCCGAGCCTTCATGGTGTTTGTGGTTTCCCGTGCTTGTTGTGCTTCTCTCATCCCCTGGAGCGAGCTTGGTTGACAAGACGTCGAATAGGTTTTCATGACCCGCCGGGACAAGCTGGCATGCATCCATGAGCCCTTTGGCGACGCATTCTACTATGGCCCCGAGCGAGTCGGCGAGCGCTTTGAGGACGACGCCGAGGGACGGGAGAAGTCTGGCTTCTCCCAGACAACCTACGCTGATGTTTTGAAGCAGATCGAGGAGGCCGGCAAAGATGTACGTTTCCGCCCCCCTTTACCCCAATTTTCCCTTTCATTTTCCTTTCGCCCCGAGGTTGTCTCCGCGATCGATTTCGCGGCCTGCCGCCGACACTTGTCGTCCCACCCCTTGCATGCTGGTTCTAGTTGCATAGCTTCTGGAGGCCCCCCCCCCCCCCACGGGTCAACCCCCGTCAATCCGTTACTTGCCATCCCCCGTCAAAAATCGAGTTGATTTTCGGTCGCAAGTGTTCCTGGAGGCTCATAACAGAGCTTCTCGAAATTCTTAATTGATTCCGGCTGAAGGGGCCTTCTGCTGCTGGGGGGTCTTGGTGTGTGCCCGGGAAGCTTTGAGATGCAGCTACGCAGCCGCAATTATTAGCACTAAGCTACCCCTGTAACCCTTGGGTGACCCCTCCGACCGATATGGAATTCCCACCACCATCACAGAATCGCATGCACACATTCTCCATGGCCAGGTACTGACGCCGACCCCAGAAGCGCATCTTCATTAAGGACATTGCGCACTACCTCCTGCCTCCCAACCAGCAAAAGGCCTCCATCGCCCCCTCGACCGGCACCACCGCTGAGCCCGGTAACCCTACGGTCCTGCCCCTCGACGTCCTCCGCAAGTTCCAGTGGACGTTCCTCATCCGCCACCCGCGCCGCTCCATCCCCTCGTACTACCGCTGCACCGTCCCGCCTCTGGACGAGGTGACGGGCTTCAGCAACTTCTCCCCCAGCGAGGCCGGTTACGACGAGCTGCGCCGCCTCTTCGACTTCCTCGTCCGTGAGCGTGTCGTTGACGAAAGGGACCTCATGGTTATCGACGCCGACGACCTGCTCGATGACCCCGAGGGCGTTATCAAGGCCTACTGTGCCCACGTCGGCCTCGACTTCACCGACAGCATGCTCAACTGGAGTGAAGAGGACACCAAGTTCGCCCAGGACAAGTTTGCCAAGTGGAACGGTTTCCACAACGACGCGCTGTGCAGCACCTCGCTGAAGCCGCGCGACCAAGCGCATGTGAGTTGTCCATCCTTCGTCTCCTATTTCCCCCGTTTCGTGGGTTGCTGGTATGGAAAGAAATCCGCCGGGTACTGGCCGTTTTTTCTCGAGAGAGAGAAAAAAAAAAACACGCTGGACGGCGGAAATGGGAGTACTACGCATGCATACTAATACCCCGCGAGAAAAAGGCCATCACCCGCGAGTCCGAAGAGGCCGAATGGTTGAGCAAGTACGGCGAGAAGGGTCTCAAGGAGATCCGCAACTGCGTCGACGCTAACCTCGAGGACTACGAGTACCTCAAGAAGTTCGCCATCAGGGTTTAGGACCCCAACCCGCCGGTTTGTACAAGCGCATTCTTTTACGAAGTTTATGACAAAGAATTACACCCATCATGTGAGATTTCTGATAAATTGAAAAAAGGAGATTTCATTTCGGGGTTCATGGTTAGACAACACACTATGGGGAATCCGGTTTCTTTTCAGGGGGGGTTTATTGGTTTATCATGAGTTCATGTAACCGTGTTGATACAATAGTCTACATGGCCAAATGCCAACTAGCCACTTTTCAAACAGGCTGTTTAAAGCAAATAACAAAGTTACAAAACATCATACTCTTGTTGATGTACATTTTTCTTCTCCCGCAAGGACACAAAAGTGGCGTGTCGGGTCCAACCTAGGTTTTCATTCCCAGACTGAGGGGCTTTTGATGCCTCGGTCTCGGCCGTAGGTTCCCCTTGCCATTCTCCGACACGGCCCTCCTGTTGACGGATTTCAAGCCGTTCATTCTCAACCTACTTACTCTCGGCCTCCTCCTCAACGACCTCTGTGAACTGGTTCTCTGCCAGCAGCGCCCTGGCATCCTCAAACACGTCGTGCGTAACGTTATCGGACCACTTTGCTGCAAAGTTGCGGTCGGCTTCGTTGGCCCAGTATATCGTCGCGGGCAGCAACTCGTCGGAGCCCTCGACGACCTTGGTCGCATCCTCGGCCGCGCCCTCCTTGCCCGCGATCGTCGCCGTCGGCGGCGGCGGCTCCTGGGACCATTTCCGGCCCATCAACCTCTGGCCCTCCTCGAGGACGGCTTTCTTCTCCTGTGGGCTCACGAGCAACCGGCTTCCCCTGCCGACGCCGGCGAGGACGGCGGCCATGTCGGCGATGGAGTTGGCGCGCTGGTCGTTGAGGGCGACGCCGCGCTCGTGGCGGTTGCGTACGCGCGTCTTGGTGACCCCCGTGATGGCGTCCGTGTTCTTGGCGAAGCGAAGGGACTCGTCCCAACAGAGTTCGTGCAGGCGACGGAACTCGCGGAGCTTCTGGAAGACGGACTGGCCTGCCGCGCCGGCGCCGGGGGGCAATTGGATCATGGCCATCGGTTGCCAGTAGTCGCGGCGGAGCTTCGCAGGTTTTGTCTTTTTGCCGTTGAAAGGGAGTTGGCGGAGTGCGCGGTTGGACTGCGAACGGAGGATATTAGCATAGCTGCCGTATGTGCATGTCAGGACCCATCTGCGTGCCAATGGACAGGTACAATGGATCTGCCCGTGTATTCATATGTTTAAATGCACCCAAAAACGTACATCAAGTTGCTTTGAGTGCGAGTAGATGACCTGGTTCGAGGTCAGGTGGCTGTAAACCCAGATCTGTTCGCCGTGCCCCGGCTCGAAGTTGGCAAGCTCGGGCTGCGGTGTCCGGCGGCGCGATCGCGTGTGGCCATGCCGTATGCTTGTCCGGGCAACGCTGAAGGACAGCTGTGAGAACCTGAATGTCGGAACCGAGTTCATTGTGTGCGAGGCTGGGCCGTCACTGCGCTTGTTCGTTGTCGTCGTCGGCCCCCTAAACTTCGGGGATAGCTCGACCTTGCAAAATTTCCCGAAGCTCTGGAACCAGGTCGCGCCGGACTCTGTGGCTTGACACGTGGCGGGTAGCGATCCAGTCACATGACGGTGCTTCACCAGCCACATCGGGCCAACTGCTCCTTGGAGACCCAGCGCCTTATCGATAGACAACCTTGATAAGACAGACCCAAGAGTGGGTCGTTACGCCCAACGCCGACCACGCGGTTCGATTATTCGATTGGTGGGTGTTCAGATTCTACTAGTGACGTCGCGCAACTTCCACCAGGTTCTGGTTGCTACCCTATAGCTTCCCGGCCTTACCATATGATGTTGGGTCAGTCCATCTCTCGGCCCACTTCCCGGTTTGGTGTCTAGACAAACCTCTCTCGACGACCATAAATTCGAGGTCAGGAACAGCTTCTGAACATCTCCTCAACTTTTCACAATCAAGCTAATTCTTGCACGTTTAAGATACCCCAGTTGAATGATAGACTCTTCAACGAGAAGCTTCACGATTTGAGCTTCCTAGTACTTTTCCCACGAACAAGTCACAAACCACATCTAATCACACACACATACCACCACCACAATGAATTCACGAATGGAATTCACCGACAGGGGCGAGAAGGCCGTTCAGGATGCGATGGCTCTCGCAGAGCAGTACGCTCACTCCCAGCTATTACCCGTCCACCTCGCAGTCTCACTTCTCGAACCCCCCGCAGATCTGTCCAAGGACCAACAAAACGGCCCACAACAGGCACCCTCAATGTTCCGGCAAGTTATCGAGCGCGCGCACGGCGATCCCCAAGCCTTCGATAGGGCACTCAAGAAGACACTCGTCCGTCTACCGAGCCAAGACCCGCCTCCAGACCAGGTCTCCGTGGCACCCACCTTCCATGCCGTCCTCCGCAAGGCGCAAGAGCTGCAGAAGACGCAAAAGGACAGCTTCATTGCCATCGATCACTTAATCCAAGCTCTCGCTGAGGACCACACAATACAGACCTGTCTGAAAGAGGCCAACATCCCCAAGGCGAAGCTGGTGCACGATGCCGTTGCCCAGATTCGAGGCACGAAGCGGGTGGACAGCAAGAATGCCGATACCGAGGAAGAGCACGAGAACCTTGCCAAGTTCACCATCGACATGACGGCCTTGGCACGCGACAAGAACATGGACCCGGTCATTGGCCGCGAAGAGGAGATCCGGAGAGTCGTTCGGATCTTGTCCCGCCGGACGAAGAACAACCCCGTCCTCATCGGTGAGCCCGGTGTCGGTAAGACTACCGTCGTCGAGGGCCTCGCCCAACGTATCGTCAACCGCGATGTACCCGACAACCTGAAGGCCTGCAAGTTGCTGTCGCTCGACGTCGGCGCCTTGGTGGCCGGAAGCAAGTACCGCGGAGAGTTTGAGGAGCGGATGAAGGGTGTTTTGAAGGAGATTGAGGATTCCAAGGAGATGATTGTCCTCTTTGTTGACGAGATTCATTTGCTGATGGGCGCGGGTTCATCCGGTGAAGGTGGCATGGACGCTGCGAACTTGCTGAAGCCCATGCTTGCGCGTGGTCAGCTGCACTGCATTGGTGCAACGACCCTGGCCGAGTACCGCAAATACGTTGAGAAGGATGCTGCTTTCGAGCGTCGATTCCAGCAGGTCCTTGTCAAGGAGCCCACCATCGGCGAGACCATTTCCATCCTCCGTGGTCTCAAGGAGCGATACGACAGACACCACCGCGTCACTATTCTCGACAACGCCCTGGTAGCAGCCGCTAACCTTGCTGGCCGCTACCTCACTTCCAGGAGACTTCCCGACTCTGCCATCGACCTGGTCGACGAAGCCGCCGCCGCTGTAAGAGTCGCAAGAGAGTCTCAGCCCGAAATCATTGACTCTCTCGAGCGCAAACTCCGTCAGATCATGATTGAGATTGCCGCTTTAGAGAAGGAGAAGGACGAGGCTTCCCAGACTCGCCTAGTACAGGCGAGAAAGGATGCTCAGAACGTCGAAGAGGAATTGGAACCTCTCCGCCAGAAGTACCTCAGCGAGATCAAGAGAGGCGAAGAGATTCACATGGCCAAGACGAAGCTTGACGAGCTTGAGAAGCGTCTTGAGGATGCTGCCAACGCCGGGAACCACGCCAAGGCTGCCGACCTTCAGTACGGCGCCATCCCCGAGCAGCGCGCGGTCATCAAGGAGCTCGAGGCCAAGAAAGCCGCCGCCGACGCCGCTCTCAACGCGACCGGCCAGGACCACAACGCCATGGTAACTGATGTTGTTACCGCTGACCACATCAACGAGATCGTGTCCCGCTGGACTGGCATCCCCGTCACCCGCCTCAAGACGAGCGAAAAGGAAAAGCTTGTTAACATGGAGAAGGTTCTCGGCAAGATTGTCGTCGGCCAGAAGGAAGCTGTTCAGGCCGTTTCCAACGCCATCCGTCTTCAACGGTCTGGTCTCAGCAATCCCAACCAGCCACCTAGCTTCCTGTTCTGCGGTCCCTCCGGTACCGGTAAAACTCTTTTGACTAAGGCCCTCGCCGAGTTTCTCTTCGACGATCCCAAGGCCATGATCCGCTTCGACATGTCCGAATACCAGGAGCGACACGCTCTTAGCAGGATGATTGGCGCTCCTCCGGGATACGTCGGCCACGATGCTGGTGGACAGCTCACTGAGGCCCTCCGGCGCAAGCCGTTCTCCATTCTCCTCTTCGACGAGGTGGAGAAGGCTGCCAAGGAGGTTTTGACAGTCATGCTTCAGCTCATGGATGACGGCCGCATCACCGACGGTCAAGGTCGTATTGTCGACGCCAAGAACTGCATCGTCGTCATGACCTCTAACTTGGGCGCTGAGTACCTCACCAAGTCCACCAGCCGTGAGGGCAAGGTCGACCCGACAACCCGCGAGCTCGTCATGAATGCCCTTCGCGGCTGGTTCCTGCCCGAGTTCCTCAACCGTATCAACTCGACCGTGATCTTCAACCGTCTCACCCGTCGTGAGATCCGCAAGATTGTCGACATCCGGCTGCAGGAGATCCAGAAGCGTCTGGAGGACAACAACCGCAAGGTCATCATCGACGTGTCGGACGAGGCCAAGGACTACCTCGGCAACGCCGGCTACTCGCCGGCCTACGGTGCTCGTCCGCTGTCCCGCCTGATTGAGAAGGAGGTCCTCAACAAGTTGGCCATCCTGATCTTGCGGGGCAACGTCCGCGACGGCGAGACTGCCCGCGTTGAGCTCATCAACGGCAGACTGGTTGTCCTACCTAACCACCAAGACAGCGAGATCAACACGGACGATGACATGGACGAGGACGACGCCGTCGACGAGCTTGTTGCTGATGAGATGGACGAGGATATCTATGACTAAGCGATTACTGCATATGAAAGGGAAACGATGGAAAAGGGATGATTATGAAAGATGATTTCTAAGATTGATGACGGTCCTTATTGTAGAGACGAGAATCCATAGAGCATGCGGCGTTTTAGGGATTGGGTAGGGTTAAGCACTTGAGGCTTGTATGGGATGGCAAGCACGTTATGAAGCCTTAACAGAGTCAAATTGATGAAAATAGGGAGAATCAACGAACCTGCTTACAATGTGATGTTTGTCAGCGAATATGGACTGCGGTCATGGTAAGTGAGTAGTCAAATTAACGAAGCCTGCCATGTTTCCTCAAAGGTCGGAAACTGTCACTTTGTTTAATCCAGTGACACTAGATACAAATGATGGTGACATCGCCACGAGTTCTGTCTGAGCAGGCAAGATGAACGGGCAGCGTTTATTCAGGCCACCGAATATCAGCATCATCTGAAATGCCGAATGGTATTTGTTCTGATTTGAGCATGTCCCCTCAAGTTACCGTGAGTAACAAGGGGGGGAGGGCGAGGAGGGGCAGATGGATGTTGTCCACCGGCAAACGCAACTACGATTTCGCGCGACGAGACTCCCGGAATCAGCGGGAGCATAGGTGATCCGTGGTGACACTGCGAACGAGACATGACGGGAGAGTAGAACGGGGACGTTCCAATACAGAAGCTCGAGGTCGCGGTGCGTAATTCTTAGGAGACCAGACCTCCTGAAGCCGACATGGCCACCTCCTCCCGGCTTTCAACTCGTGCGGTGTCGCATCGTATTATGACCAAGGAGACGTCAGTGCCAGCATACTGAGCAGTAGACCAATTTGGGTATACTCGTCACACGCCACACATACAGCGTTCGCGATAGATACTACATATCTACCAACTCAGTACCTATTTACGGAGTGACAGTCCTGAGATATCTCCCCGAAACGCACGTGTACACGTATATAGATAGATATAAGTGTATTTATATACAGAAAGCCTAACACTAACCTAGACGAGCCCGGAGTCAAATCAGGCGCAATGGGATTGACTAGAGAGCCAGCAATGTTTCACCCACCTTGGCTTGGCTGTCATTTCGGGGGATCTAGCTAGGCGTCTGGGTTAGTCGTCGTCGTAGTGGCCGAGGAGATGCTTCCCCGCGTTTTGACGTCGTCGCCGCATCAAACACAGCTGCCTTGTTGATCGATGAGTTAACCCACCCGCGGATCGCATGACGCATGGAAAACCACGCTTTTTTTTTTGTTTAGTTTCTCGTGGCTGGGACGAAGAACCATCACTGCACGTTCGACCCCCCCCGCAGCTGCAGTGCAACGCAGTTGAAATGACTTTGCCGAGCAGACCAGCAAGTCGTACGATCTGCGAAACTAGTCGCGGGGGACGACCGTAGGGGTTCGACCAAGATGCGATACTATTTTTACCGAAACGACCCCGGTGATCGCCCCGGTCAGCGGATGGGGTTCCATGACGGGGGCGGTTCAGGTTCCCGTTGGTCCCCTCCCCGAGCCTACGATAGCAAGCCCGGGAGATCAATGTCGCTGGAGGTGGACTGTGGCGGCGCGCTTTCCCGAACCTGGGACCGTCGTGTGCAGCAG